ATATTATATATATAATACAATATACATATCAGACTTAAATTAGATACATAATTAATAATCAGTTGAAAATATTTTTAACAGTTGTGTAAATGTACAAAGAGCGTTTGCATGCAGGCCATAAAAAAATCAAATTTAATTACTCTCAATATAATAAAAACAAATTACATGTCATAGGTATCGATCTATTCTGTATAATATCATACCTCTATTATTAATATCTAGGTAACACCTATACCTATGTCGTTTAAAATATTGCAGCATGTACATACGTCGGAGAAGAAAAAAAGTATTGTATTATATTATCAAAAATATATAATATAAATTGTTCAACCTACACCTTACACTAAATTTGTTATTATATAAATCCGTCGGTACAGTCGATGCAGTCAATGAATATTGTTTATGCCTACAACCTGCATCGATGTATAAGTTATTATTAATTCTCGAGATTATAACACTGGAAAAAGTTCCAGCTAGTCATTTTTAACCGTGCCCCTAAGATAGAACTCTTGGAATTTTTTGGCAGATGTTTTATTTTAACGCTTACGTTTGTCATATTTTCTCAGCGGAAGTTAATTATAATGTTTGATCCCGTCAAATGCGTAAACGCGTATAACAACGAATGCGCCCGAAAAATAAAAAATAAATGTTCGCGATCCTCGGATTAGGCCGAGTTTGCCAAGAATCAGTCTAACCGGCGTGGGTATATCGCATCTTATTTAGTAATCCCTACATAGGTCGTTCGCAATAGCCTATACACACGATGTTATGTATATCAATCCGTGTGTGATGTATATTATAGAATATAAAATGGTGTTTTTTATCTGAATTTTATATATTTTTTATTTCAGCTGCGATGTGTAATGTATGTATACATTGTTCAATGTTCATGCAATGTCAATCGAAAGACAATATAAATACGTATAATATTTTCCCAGCGTATAGCGTACCGATAAATTATATGTATATATTGTGTATACCACAACATTTATCGTATTATTTTCTAACAGTTTCTTATATATATTTTACGTCTCGGTGGCGTCCGTCTAATAGATTTTTGGGCTATAAAATTAAAAATACAACTCTATACTCTATTATATATTGTATTTTATTTTAGTTGATAATTTAAAACTTTTCCTGAAATGCCTAATATTTCTTTTTTTTTAATGCATTTCGAGCTGTCGCGACCATTAGATGGATACAATATTATGGGAAGTTTGTGCCGATAACGAATTATTATTACTATTATTATTGCGTTTCATCATCCGAAATGCACTCGACCACTACATTATAGTATAATATTATATATGGTATATTGGTATACCATATATACATACTACCGAACACTCGTTAACTGCAGGGTCCGCGTGTAATAAGCGAAGTTCATTATATATACGCCTTCTTATTTATTATGTTGACACTCCATATTATGTATATATAATATAATATATTATCGTTATTAACATGGGAATTGGTTTCTCCGACACACGATTTCTCAACGGACATTCCTCGAACTTTGTCAAATCATATTTGTATATTTTATTTATTTAAATTTTTTTTTACACGGTTCGAACTGTGCAGTTGATCTGCGGGCCCCATTCCGACCCATGTGTGTTCGCACAAAGTGACAAGCACTCGGCGTGGTCCGAGAGCGTTGAGCACTTTAGTAGTGCCCGTTGCACAACGTTTGCATGCATATATTTATATATTATATTTTATTATAATTTATAATAATGTACTGACTAACATAACATATATAAAGAGACCGTTCAGAGGATACTTGAAAAACCGGGAACCGTCGCCACCGCCGCACAGTTTTAATCGGCGAAATATACTGCTAATATATAATATAGGTGGACGCCGCCACCGAGTTTCCGTCTCTTTGGGAAATCCACATCGTTGTGGTCGAGTGTTCGGATTGTCTTTGTTTTTTCGAACCGCCCATCCGAAAATTGTAAGTTATTGTTTTATAAGTATTGTATATAATTGTATTAATTATCGATATTATTTCATCGAAATCCATCGTCATTCGCTTTCAGACGCTTCAATTTTCCTCGGAGTTCATACTTCATACCGATTATTATGTTATTTTTTATACGCCATCCATTATTTGTTTTATTCGGGGAAATCGAACCAAAAATCTCAAATATAATATATATAAAAATATAAAATATGTCGAATTCATTACTATATCTACTATTCCATTATGCCGAGTCATCGCAATATCATAGCAAACAATATACAACGATAATTATTATAAACTGATCGTATAAATATGTGTTACAAACCTCCAACCACGATCATTAAGTTGACCATTTTAAATTTTTTTTACAAATATTACTTGAAATATAGACATATTTTTTGAGTGCGCCGATTTTATAAATATCGCTAACTTATCTATACATTTAAAAGAAACTTAATTCTCGTTAAACATTTTTAAATGTATCCAAAATCCAAATAATCATAAATATCAACGATAAAGTCAACAGGTATAGGTTAAGTGTATGTACACTGTATAGTGAAAGGGTGTGTAGTATTCAAAATCTTGAGAAATAAAATACTTATCTAAAATTTGAGAAAGTAAAACTTTATTATGTACCTATACACCAATACAATATAATAAAAAATAAAGTAAAAAATCTATGAATCCCCTTTTAGACACATACTATATTAGGTATATACAATGTTACTGCACTAAAAGACTATTATCGTATTTTCAAAATTATTGTTATTTGACTGAATAACATTTATTGGTCCAAAAAGTAATAATAATTGGATAATAACACTAAAAAATGGTGGTACAAAATGTTCAGGTTGTTTATATATTGTACAACGACCCCGTCATTGGATGGTACCGCCGAACCAAACGCTATTAATCCCGTTGTAGGTCGCTGACAGATTTATTGGTTTCGGCGGGAAGCTATATTTTATTTTCCTTCTTAAAAATTTAAAAATTTGTCAAACCACTAAAACTTAATACCTTAGGATCATTTTATGTTGTTTACATTTCACCAAATAGTACCCGGACGTGTGGGAGTATTACATATTTCAATGTCACAAAAAAAAGCTGAAAACTCGACACATATATTATTATGTTATAAACTATGTATACTAAAACATGCATACAAATACGCCACCGAACTCGCGATTACACAAACACATATAAATATATCCAATTTAAATGTTTTTATTTACCGGAAACGCTTAAAAATGACAAATAGCATATAGAAAACGGCACATTAAAATACTTATTGTGTTTAAAATTATAATACCTAAGTACCTAACTACATGTGGAAAAACTATAATGATGTCCAGCATCATAAAATAACATGATGATGTATAACATTTATTTTATTTTATGTAATCAACCGTAAAACAAGGTCCGTTATTCTTTAAACGTTTGTTCTTAATAATTGCGCTTTACGGTATGACGATTATATAGGTACAACAATCCAACAGGCAATGCTAAATTAAATAGGTACGTATAAACTGTCTATGTTTAAACAAGTAAATAACCTATTTTAATAGGAACAAATAAATGTTTTTTTTATATATTTTAGGTTCAATATAATTATAATAAAATCATCTTCTCGGAAAAAAAAATGTTCCGTTAAAATTAACTACCGTAATAATTATATTTTAATATTAAAATAGTATGCAGTATTGTTATAAATTGAGACTTGAACAAAATTTAATTTAGGCGAACAAATCTGAAAAATGCTACTTAAATAGTTTTTATTGTATATAAATATAATATTATGACGAGTATAAATAACAATTATTCATTATACGCATAATAATCTATAAGATATTATAAATTATAATATTATGTATATAAAATAAGAAACTGACTGACTAGTGACTGACATAACAACTCACATCTCTAAACCACTGGGTCTAAAACTTACTCAAATGTATTTGCTTATGAAGCATTAATGCTTATTAATAATTATTACACTCAAGCGTCAAGCCGAAATACACCAAGTCACCAAATATTCAATGGCGACCCATCTCGGTCGGATTTGTCTACAAAGCTATATAGGTACACCGACACCAATGACTTGCTCGTTAACTGAGGTACTTACACAAATGCTACACGATCAGACTAAAATCACACAGAGTGCAGTATTTTATATTTGATTTTTTCCCAAGAAAAGTCGTGAAATCAGAAATACAGCTGCTCGAGTCCTATATACTTAACTGGTTATTTTATACAGGATGTTGCATGATAAATGTGCCAAACTTCTAGAGATGTTTCAACACCTCAAATGGGACAAAAAAAATCCTTATGACCCCTGCCTTAAGTTGGATAAAACTGACATTTTTTAAAATGTCGACATTTTAAAGTTTTAAAACATTTGGGTTATTCTTTTTACCCAAAAAATCAGGTGGGTACCTTGTAAGATATGTTTACCTAATCCCAATTTTATGAGCTTTTCATCAATGTATTCAAATTAATTGTAGTACCTGCGGTTTAGCAGATATGAACATTATTATGAATCAAACTTGCGTTTAACCATAAATACACAAACATGGAAATTATCACCCTTATTATTGATAATTCGATTATGGTCATAAGGACTTTTTTTGTTCCATTTGAGGTGTAGAAACACCTCTACAAGTTTTACACATTTACCGTGTAACACTCTGTATAGACATATTATATGATATAAACTTATTATGACATGAAAATTAAAAAAAAAATGGAAACATCTATCACCATTTTATATTATATTTTTCCGGACTTATGTGTGTTATTCAATTGTTTTAGTGCAATGGCGGTTTTGATAAAACATCAAGGGGGGACTATTTTCAATTTTTGGGCCTCCCCCCATAACTAAAGCAATTCAAGCATATAGTGTAATTTCCATTAAAAAAGGACATGAAAAAAAAATTCAAGGGGGAGAGGTGAGAGCCCCCTTCGCCCCCCCTAAAAACCACCACTGTTTTAGTGTTATATACGTTATTTAATAGTTTATTATATGATTGTAAAGACTTACTGCGATGGCCAACAGGAACACGGAAAATCCAATACCGATGAAGTCCATTTTTCGCCGATCAATCCTTATATTGTAATCGTCGACAAACTCCTCGATCGTCGAGATCCTATACAACCGAGTTAATATCTAGGGGGTGTACCATATTTTTATGGACAAGAATAATAGTAATAATACATTTTTCGTAACAAACTGGCCGCGCGCAAATCAACTAAACGTTATAGAATAATGTGCTACTGTCATCATTATTTTATCGACCGGCACCTGTACGAGAGAGAGAGAGAGAGAAAAAGAGAGACATACGTCTCACCTAAAACGTCATCGTTCATCTAAGAGTGGTTTAATTTAAATTCTCATCAGGATACGCGCTAGGCTGTTTCAGAGTACGTAGAAAATATCAAATTACTATATTTATGTGGGCCGATAGTGCTCAGCGGTGCACGCCGTTTGCATTTTATTATAAAAACGAAATTTAAGAAATTTGTAATGAAAATATTAAAGAATAATCGGCATTGATTATTATTGTGATATTGGTAAGAAGAATACGTCCGGGACCGAGAGAAAACTAATTATAATATAGTTATTAGAGAATAGAGAGATAATTAGCGTCGTCGTAGTCGTATGGTCGTCTGCTGACTGCTCTATAATTTTATTGGACACCAGTGATGGACGTAGTATAATATTATAAGGTACGAGCGCCGGGCGCTACTCCATGTCACGGCTGTCCGGATGAAAAGGGCATAACCGTTGTGTGATTTACGATTCATAAATAATAAATCATAACGTCACGGACGCGGACTTTGTGCACTGTATATAGACGTTTGTGTATAAATGTTTATGGGGGAAAGGAATTCTTAGCTTATTATAATGCATAGTGCGATTTTTATTGATCTATTGAATTTATTCCGATTTTACTATATACAGCCAAATAGCATACATAATAATATTAATATCATCTGCAAAGTTCTCTGGTTGAATCTTGCATTACGTATACACAGTGACCGATGCCAATACAATATAATAAAATGATTATGATACATTGCACAATATTCGAGTAATAATAAAAATAAACATTTTATACCGTTAAAGTAATAATTTTTAACTCAAATCGTCATAGCAGATTCGAATTGATAAAAATAAACTATATCCTCAAATATAATGATAATAATTTAGTAGTTTATTAGTTAAAATAAAATATCGAAAAACCAACCATAATATAGTTTTTAGAACTGGATAAAAATAAAAATAAATTAATCTATAAAGATATATAAGACATTTTAAACTAAAAGCCAACATAAAGTCATTAGCATAAGAAGGCATGCGTCCAATTTTAAAAAAAAAAATGATAATTGCTTGTTTTGATGGAAAACGTGTACCTCTAATCAATCATTAAAACGTATAAAATAGTGGTTGACACAATAGAAATTCGAACAAAATATTTTTAATTGATAATTAATATTTTCATTATGACTTCCCAGGAAACTATAGTATTAATGTAATATGATATATATATAATGATGATTTTCATCATTTTGACATTTTCCAAATTGTATTGAATGATTTTAAATTAAATTATAGATGTTTAGGTAGGTACCAAATAAATAATTTTTTTTTTTTATTGATTTAATAGCTTCAACAACAAATCTTAGCGTAGTGTTTACTTTTCTTTTTTCAATTATTATGCTCTATGGTATAAAAAAGTATTTTAAAAAATGAAATTATAAATAAGTCAAAATAATTTATGAATGATATAATCCTCATAAGATATTGTACAATTTATATTTGTATGACAACGAAAATCCTATTTTTGTTTTAATTTTTAAACTTCTATTTTTATTTAATTATAGAATATGGATTATATGTTTAACACAAATATAGGTACGATACAATCGATAATATAAACCGAGAAAAATGTAAAAGATCGAAAACTTATATCAATATTGTATCGAAGAAACAAAATGAGGTAGTTATTTAAATAACATAAAAGTTATACCTGTGGAAAATCGAATTTCTAACTTTTCTCTATTTTATGAGTAGTATCTTCATTCTATAATATTTTTAATTGATTAATTTAGAGTGTAAATGAATAAATTATTAAAGAGTAATACATTCTAAAAAATGATTTAGAGGTACACATAGTTCAAATTTCAATTTATGACAAAAACGTTTCGTTTAAGTATATTAAAATAATTGTAAAAATACTTTGAGCTATTATTTATACAATTTACATGATTTAATAAAAATATCATTTCCTAAATCAGTACAGACAATAGTTTCATTATCAATAATAGTATGTCACTAGTTATAACTTGAATAATATTGTAAATTTGTAAATACTTAAGACAAAGCTAGAAAATGTATAATTACCTTACTATAAAACACTTTTCTTACTGTTAGTGAAAACTGTACAATTAGGACTTGTACCTAATCATATATTTTACGAACATAAGCTGGCCAATGGGCATTGATAGTATCAAATGAAAAATCAAATAAAAAAAAATACAAACAAAAATGAATACATACTCGTTTACATGACTGTTAACTATACAATATACCAAGTTATACAAATATGGATGTGTAATAAAAATGTTATGTATATTTCGTTTTCAGTACGGAATTTAAACAGCCATCATAATAAATCCATAAGAATTATGAACAGTAAATAAATAATTTTTTTTTATTATTTAGCTCTAAACCGACCTAGCTATATTTACTTGCGATCATTTTTATGATGATAAGTTTATGGGAATCGAGACATGCCTATATACGATAGTGCCCGGTTAAAATATTTAAGTTTCACTTACGATATAAATAATATATTGTGGCCAATTTGTTACGTAAAATAGTAATAATATGAAAAGTAAAACTTTATACCACTTTGAATTCTCGTATATGATTAAATTCGTATGTTTGTTTGCATAAATTATTACCAGCGGTAACACTCACGCGAGCATCGAACCGCGTACTGTTTACAGAATCCCATTGATAGACCGCTGCGTGCCCCTTAAATCTATCTACGTCGCGGTGCGCATGCGTATAGCGTTCAGGTGAAATTTTTTTTTTTTAAAGCATCGGAAGCTAATTTTGTTAACAAACCGATACAAATATTCGTAAAGTAGGAAACCGAATAAATTAAAAATAACAATTCGTCAATTTACTTAGTGTAAATTCTTAAATTAACGTAAGCGTATAAAATTAGTTTTTTTCTGCGAGGCAGGTAATAATATACCTATTAATTAATAATACTATATGCTTACAATATAGTATGTATATTTCAATATTTTAAACCATCAATAAAATAATTATATCCTATATATATATATATATATATATATAGGCACGAGTAAATTTTTTACCAAAGATATTATGTTATAAATTATTATCAAATTGCTAACACAGATTTAGATCAACAATAACAAATTTATGTATATTTAAATACGCAGTCTTGGATTCTTTTGCAAATCAATCTTAAACTGATGTCATTTAAACTGATATGGAAAAGGCCTTTGGTAGGATATATCATAAATTATTAATTAATAAACCTAAAATGTATGGATTCACTGAACCACTTCTTTTTTGGTTTTTTTCCTTCATTTCTGGTAGTACCCAAGTTGTAAAATATTTATCAGATTTTTATGTTATGAATGTTTTGTTTACAGAGCACCCTATTCTGATTACAATTTTACAACTTACAATCCATTTTTTTAATATACAGTCTATAACATAACGATTTATGGAAATTAAATTAAAATTTTTACTAAAATTATTAAATAATATGATTGATTGTCTGGAATTACTACAAAATATAAATTTTAAAATAAATCCAATAAACTATCTACCGATCTTATCCTACACAGAACATTTAACTACAAATTATATTCGAAATTCTCCATCCAATATTTTAATGTCCGCAGGTAACTATAAATAATTTTAATTTTTTTTGTAAATATTTAAATATTTTGATGGCAAATGTTATAAGAAATACATAACAAATTAGGTACTAAAATCTTAATTAATAACTCGTTTTTATTTCACTTTGTTTTTTATTTTATAAATTTAGATATTTTAATGTATGATATTGATACCTATTTATTCTTTTATTTTTAAAACTATTTGAATTATTATTATTGTTATATATAAATTACTGATAATGTACGTATATATAATATATTATATACATTATACGTGATAAATGAAAAAAAACTGTAATTGGAATTTATTTCCGTAATAAAGAAAATATTATTATTATTAAAATGTAAAAAGTGAAATAAAAATAAAAGTTTTCATTTGAATAAGGCTTAAGATTATGAAATTAAGAACAAAATATCTTAGCTCAATAATATTTAAGCCACCATGACTTGTTATTACTACTACGTTTACACCCATGACCTATAGTATAATTACTTAAAGTTATCTTATAATGTACATAATATTATAACACATTATGATGTATGTACTTTCTAAAATAGAACAATTAGATGTTGTCTAAATTTGGTTACATTGGCCATTTAGTGTTCAAAATTAATGTAACTTAAATTGCATTTCTAATTAATAAAATTAATAGCTAACCATAAATAACTCAAGTTTTAGTTAATCGGTTTTTTTACGTCATGTTTTTAGTAAAAAATTAATACTAGCTCGAAATTAATTTTAAACAAACTGTAATCAGGTAAAATATAATTAAAACTTTATAGAACACTATATAATCACTGCTGCTATGATGGCTTAAGTAATTTATAAGCCATTGTAAAATAGACAAGCTGAGAAAGTCATCTTCAATTTAAGTATCATACAACATATTATGTATTAATACATAATACATGCATAAACACGAAATAATTTTGATCACAGCATTCACAACTGCCTACGCATTGACGCTTCAATGAAAACAGTTTTTTTCAGCTCCATCATCATTAAGTTAATAAGTATTACACTGTATAATATGTAGGACGTGATTATTATTAGGGTTCTACAATAATAATTATTTATAATGGAAAATATCAGCGTTGTGTAATGAAATTTAAATTTGTTTGAACTAAATCGTGTGTATA